AAAACTAAGAGGCCAAATGAACCTTACGTATCGGTGCAACTTATAAACTCTTTTGCTACGTGCCCTTTAGGTTGTTTCTCTCTTTGTAATGTGGATAGACACTAAAATGGGGGAGGTGAGGCCCACCAGCTCCAACCAGTTAATCAGCTCTAGCGAGGGAAGTATCTGCTTTAGCTCTCCTTTTGCACATCAGGAATCCTTGGAGTGAACTTTCTGCAGGTCCAGGCAGGATTTCCAGGAAAGCAGCTTGACTAAGTCACAGATTGCTCTGGCATTATGCCCTGATGTTACTTCACTAGGGCAAATTTTTTAATGTGGTCTCAGCCTGGAATTTCTGCTCTTTGTTAGCTTTTAAGAGTTGTATCCTTTTAATCAGCTAAATGCTTTTGACAGCTGTTGGAGGGAGAGAGCAAACCAAAAGCGGAAATGAAATAAAAACCAGGCCAAATCACTGATGCTGGAATTCCTTAAAAATTAAGGACAAGCCCAGAGAGAGATTCCTTCACTGCCACTGAACCTGGATTGGAAGGTGTGATTTCACACCCATGAGAAGCATAAGAGGCATTTAAATTCAGAAAAGAAAATTATCTAAGATATATAAGGTGCTGGGTTGCTATGACCTTTCAAAACCCAGACTGCCAGCTTCATCCAAGGATGTATGAATCTCAGCTTTCCCAACAAAAGTTGTTTCTATATTACACTGTCTAAAGACTTGGAAAAATCTAAAGAGCTCTCTAAGGATCAAATCCCTGGAGATGAATAGAAAACACTCTAGTGTGTGATCTCTAAAACCATACCCATTTACTTAATTCCTAGTGGCCACGTCTGACTCGGTCTCAGATTCTGAGACAGCAACAGGCTGAGAAACCACATGCACAAAGCGCTGCGTACGCTTGTTCTGCTCTTACACAACAATTTTGTCTACGCCAGAAGACAGGGTCATGGTCCAAACCAGTAGAGCCATCCTTATATTCTTATATTTTTAGATCACTCATATGTTTTGGAGGACAACACAGACTGATTTCTGATTTTTGAGTATGTGGAGCAGGCACCACTGCATCTCTGCTCAGGACTCTCCTAGGGATGAGGGAGAATTACGTCTCTTCTTGCTGCCATCTTTAATATGTGGAGGAAATACAGATATCCAAGTTAAATCCTCAGGTTACGCACGTATTTCCTGCATGCCCTCTTCTGTGCTTTCCTCATCTGTTAACAGTATATATAGACGGGCAGCATACATCTACCTTTCGCATGACACAGACAGAGTATCGATTCATATCTGTAGAGCATGGGGGACTGTTTGCATTGAAATCCTACATGTTATTGTCTCAGTGGATCTAGTGTCCACATCAGAGATGATACTTGGCCCTTTAGCTACAGTGGGCCTTGGGGCAATAGTTTCAAGGTTCATCCTGCATTGGCACTTGCGCTGGTTGTGTCTACTGCAAGAGAACGTACACTTTGTGCAAAGCTACGTTTCCAAAGTTAGGGTATTTAAGCAGAGAAGAGTCTTGGCCGGAGACCACGCGGGCTGTCCCCGGGTTGTGCAAGGCTGCTCCTGCCACGCCATCCCCAAGAGCAGCAGCTCCTCCAGGGAGCGAACGCCTGCACGAAGCAGCCTGAACCGAAGGAGGATTCAACTCACTGCTTCATGTCCTGCACTTGACACTCCATGTTCTCCTGCTGACTTCTCAGTATCTGTACCTCGTATAGCAACCTGCTGAGGTCCTCCTGACGCATCTTGGTCTCTTCACTTTTCACTACTGACACCTGAGGGGAAAGCAACAGGGGTGGCTTTTACCAGGACAAGAAGGGTGATGGATGGATATGGGCATTGCTGCAGCTTGGGCAAGGGAATTCCACCAGCTGGATACTGGCGTGCCCGAATACCAGGGGTCTATTGGGAGCAGGCACCGATTTCACATCAGTTTGGGTACAAGGGTGTTTAAGGAGCCTGCTGCAGCCGTGGCCCTGAGGACAGGACCTCCTCACCTTCCTTTTGATGTGCTCCAGGAGGTGCTCGTGGCCCTGCAGGAAGCAGAGGTGCTGGAACTCGGTGTCGTCCCGCTCGGGCTTCACCAGGCCGCCCTGCTCAATGTTCACCACCTTCCTGAAGCCGTCTGCATGGAGAGGCCGCTGGTGAGGCCCCATCTGGCCTTCTTCCCATTCATCTACATCAGCCCTAACTAAATCCCACCGCAAGGCACCGTGTCCTTCCCGGGTCCCACTGCCACGCAGCGCGAAGCGGAGGCAGCTGCGCTACATCTCCAGCTCTGCAAGGATACGGCCCAACAGACTGGTATTTACCTCAGACTGGTATTTACCACAGAGCTGTTAACGTGCTTAAATAGCAAAGGGAAAACCTGGCAGAAGAACTTGGTCAATTGACCATTAAAAAAATGGACTTTGTTTAACAGAGATGAACTCAGGCAAAGGAGGAGAAGAGGACGTGTATTTACGACCATCCTGGAGCAGATGTGCCGGGACAGGCTCAGTGCAGGGTCACACTGTGCTCCACAGCATCCCTTTGCAAGGAGGGTTTTACAGCAGCAAGATGCTGCAAAAACACCCCTCGAGGCCTTAAACTGGAAGCCCTGATGGGTCACCAGATTGCTGGGGGGAAAAGAAAACGAGTAGCTGAATTTCCTAGCTTATAACTTGCAATTAAATCTAAGGGAAATTTCATGCTGGGAGCTGCAGGCTCCTCTGGCACCGTATAGTGAGTTCCTCCCATGGCAAACGTGGCAATGGACAGGAGGTCCCAGCTTCTGGACGCGCACCTCCTGCTCACCTCGCCACTCTCCTACTTCCCACCGTTTTTGCCAGCGCCTGTAGGACCTGCACAGCCTCAGAGCTGGGGGTTGAACTTACACATGTTCAGCTGCCGGACAAAACTGGCCATGTTGTTGTGTTTGAAATACTTGGGCAGCACCTCCTTGGCAAACCGGCCTTGGTCGAACACATGGAAGCTCGTGCCATTCTGCAGAGGAGACAGGGGGACGTCAGAGCGCGGCCACGCGAGGGTTCATACGGACACTGCGCCGACTCGCAAACTTCGGACACCTCCTCCTGATTATTTTTGAACAGATAGAGCTGTGAGAGCCACCGCAAACTTGGCTGAGCAGAGCCTATACATTTTAATGGTCGTGCTTCATAGCCGCAGCTCAGCAACGTGCAGTTTGACGTGGTGAAAGAGCCGCTTTCGAGGCTGTGCTGCCAAGAACTGGTTGAAAACCAGTGCAGACTGTTCTGGGGTCAGCACCGCACGGACGTGCTGCCCTCCGACCTGCTGGCAGCTCAGGGAGCAGGGACAGGGCGAAGCTGCCTCGAGCCCAGCGTGGGCTCAAAAATAACAGCTGACTTAACAGCAACATCCACAATATTGCAAGGGCAAGAGAGGGGGAATCACTTATACACATTAGAAAGTGATCTTCCGTTTGAAAGCCCTTATTTAAAACACACAATTAAAAAACTCAGTTGTTCTGAGACATGAGGCCACGTACTATTCACTTCAGAGAACTACCATGGACCCAAACAACAACGTAGCTTAAATCCCACCTCAGGTTTTGAATGAAAAATATACTGGACATAAATAAATGACAGAAAGGCTGGATTAGGCTTTTTTCACCTTTAAACATGCCTTTATTAGAGTCTTATTTTTAGAGAGCAAATTTATGCACACAGTGTATCTGATAACTCCCTGCTGAAGCCAAACCACACCACTACTTGCAGCAATTTTTTAATCAGACCAAAAGCAGAAACAACGTGGTTTCAAAGTGCCATCCCATGGAGGCAGATAAATCATTTTAATTCTCTGATTGCACTTTCTGTATTCAAGCCTCAGTGGCAAGCAGGAAGCCAAAGCAAAATAAACTCATGTTATCAAACCATGCAGACATCACATCACCATGATCATCATAGAGACTAGCTCAAAATCTAGTAAAGCTCTTCTAAAACGAGCAATCTGAAACCTCTTCACACTATGGGCTTCAGCCTGCGGTTGCAAGGCTGCTTGTGGCTGCTGGCTACTTCTGTGGCACATGTGAGAGACAGCTAAGAAATACATGTGAAATATGTAAACATCTGAGAAATTCATAAAAGGCTTTGCACCTCTTCTGAAAAATTTTAGGGAACCACAAATTGACACAAAGTGAAAATTCTCTCTTTCTAAGAGTACACATGTTTAGGAAGTTCTGTTTTAGGCACCGTTTGTAATACCATTATTATCAAAACACTCCCAAAACAGGTATTCCCTTTGCAATAGAAAAGCCACAATATTCCAAACAAATAACATCAAATACATACCAGAAACTCATCCAAAGACACATCAGTCATTTTCCTCTCCCAGTTAACTTACTAGCACTTGCACAGCAAAGGGAAATCACTGGGTTTAGCTGTGACACCATTTGTACCTGGGTTTCTCCAGGAACTCCAAGTGGCAACCAGTATTCGCTGTACTTACAGTGCTCCAGCAGATGAGATGGTTGGTTTCAGGATCTTCCACCAGCGTCCAGAGCTTGGTTAGGAAGGCTGGCACATTGCTGGAGTATCCATCCATCACCAGAGAACTGGGGGAATCTTGCATAGTTTTTTTCCAGCGCTCAGGCTACACTAACTCCATTGCTCCCAGCACGCGCGTGTCGGGCAGAGCCCCGAAGCACTGAATTCTACGTGGGGCCGGTGCAGAGCAGGCTCCCCGCGAGTTGCATCAGCAGCGCTGCTCGCTCTCTTCAAAACCCAGCACAATGCGATGGCATCACCACCCCGCAGAACAATACACAGAATGAAAGTGCACCGCAGCCGATCTCGCCGCGCTGTGAATAAACATGCAGCGTCATGCAGAGGCAACACGTGCTGCACACCTTCCCGGGCACGTCACCGCCGCGGAGCCGCCCGCCCGCAGCTCCGCGGGACACCCAGCAGCAGCAGCTGCTTGGCCAAGGCACCTGAGGTGCTTTTTTGGGGCTGCGTGTCTTTGCAATTTGCCAGAATTGCACGTTGGGTCACCTACAGACACAGAATCACAGAATGGTTGAGGTTGGAAGGGACCTCTAGAGATCATCTAGTCCAATCCCCCTGCTCCGGCAGGGACACCCAGAGCACGTGGCACAGGGTGGCATCCAGGAGGGTTTGAAGATCTCCAGAGAAGGAGACTCCACAGCCTCTCTGGGCAGCCTGTTCCAGGGCTCTGTCACCCTCACAGGAAAGAAGTTCTTCCTCACACAGAGACTGAACTTCCTGTATTTCAACTTGAACCCATACCCCTTATCCTATCACTGGCCACCACCAAGAAAAGTTAGACCCCACGCTCTCTGCAAGATTAATGGTTTGGCTCTTTGGTGGGAAGACAGGGTGATGCCAACAGGCACATATAGGATCTAGATGTCAGTATTCTACTATTATTATTCAAAATTCTCCATATACCTCTTCATTTTCCTAAGAAACACTAACATGGTACTGCAAGTAAACATCTGTGCAAAAGGCATTCAAACTGCGACATGGTGGGAAAACAGGGTGATGACAATAGCTACACACAGAATCCAGATGTCAATAGCCTATTATTATTATTAAACTAGATGCTTTATATAACTGCCCTTTTTCCTAAGAAACACTGACAATGCACTGAAAGTAAAAGTCTGTGCAAAAGGCATTCAAATTGCAACCTGGACACTTGCTTTCCTGAGCAACAGAAAGAAAGGAGGCACAAGGGAATAAGCAGCTCACGTATTGCTTGTAATTTTTTTTTCCCCACTCTTCATCAAATGATTTTTCTCCTGCCTGTATTTTATATCATATTTCAGGTCTTGTTTAGATCCTTTCACACTGGAATTTTCGTGGCACTGAGATAAGTGAGCTCACAGTGCGGAAGTGCCAAAAGAGGAATTGCCGAAGTAAGAGTGGATTTTCCATCAGACGACCATAGTTCTTTGCTCAACTAAGCTCAGCTTACGTGGCCAAGTACCACACACTGGCGGCAGTAGTGAAGCTGCCACTTCCTTAACTGCTTATGCAGATAACTGCTGCATCACGACACAGTGTGCTTAGCTCCTACAGTGCAAAATCACCATTGAATTTTGCTGAGGTGCCCAGTAAAAATGCATGAGCAGTAAACCTGCCATTCCTGGTATTGCTAAATAAAGGAGCAGAGGAGAAAAAAAGGCCTGCCCTCCATACCATACAAATACAAGAAGAAAAAGCAATTTCTCTGTATAAACCTTTGTCTACCACATTTGCATGCAAATGCCCAGTCTCCCAAACAAGTGGTCATCACATTCAAGAGTCAAGGCTGCTAAGATAAGGGAGCAGCAGAGGAAACTTTGCAGCGTTTTCCTTGTATCTTTAAATGTTCCTTCACATTGCTCATGCAGATCCACCCGGTTTCCCCAGGAGGGAGGCTCAGCGAACTCTCACTGCTGTCCAGGGGTGCCGCTCCTTGGTGACCTTGAGCGTGTACTGCTGCAGAGCGGGGCAGAGGGTGAGGAAGGCTTCCACCACCTCCTGGCTGACCCACGCAGTAGCAGTGGATCTCCAGTAGATTTCTGCACTTCCTAGCAAGCTCTAGCAGCGACGCATTTAACTCCTCTGAAGATGTGGTTTGTAGGGTCAGCTTCTTTAAAGTGCTGCTGTAGCTCTGGGTGACAAATCTAATCTGGCTCACCATGTAGGTACAGGTATTGAGTTGTAGTGTGCTCACAGGTATATTTGGCTTGAGGATCTGGGGGATTTTCAAGGCAGGGACCGTATGATCAAACTCCAGGTCTACACAGAGCTGAGGATGCTTTTGACTTAGTGCAGCCCAGAGCTCTTCTGAGATAACTGGGATATATTTGTCCAGGCGCTCACAGAAAATGTCTAAGTTGGTCAAAGGAGCTCTTTCTGGCTTGATCAGTTCCAGAAAAACATCGTCAGACAAGCTGGCGTAGTAAACCCCCAAAGTTGAGAGCTTGGGACAGGCTCTGAGAACTCTCCTGATGGTATCCGGCGCCACGTTGCACACCAGGGTGCGGTTGTTGATGAACAAACTGCATAAGTTGGGGTTGGTGACGGCTAAGAGCTCAACAAGTTCATCATCAAGAGTAAAGGGCATTTTTCGAAAATCAACATGCCGAAGATCTGTCTGGTTCTTGGTGTTGCATATATTGCGTATGCTCTGCAGGATGTCTTGGCCAGAGTAGAAGTAGGGGTTCTCCCCATGGCACACAATGCACAGCTGCTGCAGCCGGTGGTTCTGCTTGGCCAACACATCCAAGACACGCTTGACATTCTGCCGGTTGATCTCCTTGGACTGGTCAAACACAATCTTCAGGTGCCTGATTTGGCTGAGGAACTGCAGGAGGCTCTGCAGCATGCTCTCCTCATCCTCTGAATCACAGCTGCAAGGGCAACACAGGCTGTCAGTCCCTCTGGGAGGGGAGCAAGCATGGAGCAGATGCTCTCTACCAGCATTTCTGAGAACAGCTAGCTCCCTCAGAGGTTTCTTCTAATTTAAAGCAATGACAAGTGGTAAAATAGTGGTCAAAGGCTGGGGAAGGGGGCAGGACATGAGACAAGTCAGAAAGACCTATCAAAGTGACCTACTCAAAATGCTGGACCAGTCACCTCTATCTCAGGGCTTCTTTCTCCTCCCACTCTCACTGCCTCTTCTATTTCAGCAGGGAGTTTTTGACCATAAGGATTGTCCTTTGCTACTAGCCTGGGTGGGAACAACCGCAGTGTACCGCAGAATCATTATGGTTGGAAAAGACCTTCAAGATCATCAAGTTCAATTGATAAGATTATCAAGTGATAAGGTGTGCAATGTTCTGCATAAGAAATAGGTGGCACGATGAAGATGACTAATTATGCCTTATTTCTTGCTGCTTTTAAGTTGCAGCTTACAGCAACTTACTTAAGAAAGTAACACTTTCCATGAAACCCAAATTAGCAGCGGTGATTAAAAAACCCAGCATATAACATAGTTTTTCCCTATTATGTAAGCGGGTGCCAGCTATGTAAAACAGCATCACCATCACCACTAGTGTCAATAATGTCACAGCAGAGTGGGTTGAATGTTTGACGTGCAGCAAAAATGTCGTGATCCAGTTTTGTCTGCAGAAATGTTTGGACCCTAGAAAACCCCTTCTCTTACCTGATCTCTGTGAAATGCCAAACAGAGCTAGAAGAAACAGCTGTGGCCCACTGTCTGCACACCTGGAAGACTGAGTATCTATCTCGAAGAGAAAGATAATAGAAAATATGTATGAGGATTTCTTCTGGGATGTAGTTCCACACTTCTGGAGCAGAGGTAGGCATTTTGTCAATTCAATCAGGTCTTAAAATGTTGAGAGCAACTTTCAAAACTGCAATTAATTCCCAAATATCTCTGTTCTGAGGGAGAGAAAAAAAAAGAGGGACAGGCAGACAAGATTTATTTATCAGATCAAGCCAATGTCACTGAATCATAAAAGGAGGTCTTAAAAAAATGAACTTTCATCAAATTTTGAAATTTGAAATAACATTTATACACGTTGAACACTGAAACTGAAAAACGTATTTTGATTAACCTTTCATGCAAGTTATGATGCGACGGAATAACCACATGTGAAGAAGTCCTGAGGTTTGCAGCCTTGGAACATTCTGCAATGTTTTCACTAATCTTCCTTCATCTAAGATGTGCTGTGTCCACATTGTAGATTTCTGTAGAAATAAAAACACTAGCATTATATTTTCGATCTTTCCATAAGGAAATAGGGCGGTTTAAAACGAGAGAACTTTAAAGTCTGCAAACGTTTATCTTCCTAGACTGGAGCCAAGACTTCCCAGCCTAGAACCAAGAGCCAAGTCTCACGGTCCCACCACAAATGCTGCAGAACACCCTTTGGTTCTCAAAGCCCCAGGTCCTGCACTCACAGCATTATCTCAGCATCTCACCTTTCATCTAACCGCATTCCCACCCCCCCCCAAAAAAAAAAAAAAAAGTACTTCCAGATATCCTTGGAGTCAGGGAAAACTTGCAAAATGCAAAACAAATATGAATGAGAAAAGCAAAAGGCAAAACACAGGGAGGAGCTCAGCTGCACACTTGTCCAAAATACCCTGTTCTGCAGCGTGACTCCCTGGTTTGCATGGGAGGTGGCTGCAGCAGAGCAGCTACCCCGTCTATCTGCTGCCATCTCTGCCGACAACCCCCTTTCCACCCACTGCTTAGCCAGACCTGCTGCCAAGCAGCATGATTCTGCTTCCTTCCTGGGAACTTCCTTTCTTATTTGCTCTTTTTGGCATTTTCTCTGACAATCCCCTTGACAGCCTGGACTCTTCTAACTTTAACTGTTTTCAGGACAGTCTCTAACACATATGCGCCAAAACATCCCAACTCAAATCTCACAGGTCCAACTCCTGTTGCTTTCATTGCAGGATTTTACTTCGTTGACCTGTGCAGAGAAGCTTGGATCTCTTTGCCGATATGAAACGTATCCCTAGCCCTGGAAATGGCTTGGAAAAGCTTAAAGGATGGTAGGAGGGATGGCAGAAATGCTATTTTAAGTTATTGCCCGGTGTGGAGCGGTGAGGAACGCAGACGTGGGTGGCTCGGGTCCCTCCCGGCTCCGGGCGCTGCTGGGGCCGGCTCGGGGTGGACGGGCTCACGTGAGCAGCCGCGCTCTCCCTGCGTCACCAACCTCATGACTGCGCCGAGCTGTGTCAGCTCTCTGTGCGCGGGGGCCAAGGAAGCAAACACGGCCCCCAAAGGCAGGCGCTGGTTCAGGGCAACGGAGCGGCCGGAGCAGAGGCGCTGCCAGGAGGTGCTCGTGGATCCTGCTGTCCCAGCGATGCGGCCCCGAGGGGCTCGTTGCAGCTCTCCGTGTGCGGCCCCTTCCTCCTCGCTGCGCTCCGGGGCTGCTGAGCTCTGGCTGCATCCGGAGGGAGGAGCCCAGGAGATGTCAAAAATAACATGCCAAGAGGGAAGCTCCCTCCCTGCCCGCTGCCTTTCTGGGAACGCACGGAGCAAAGTCCCGTTTCTGCCCCCAGCCAGTGCCACTCACCAGGCCTCCCCGGGTGCCGGCCCGGAGCCACAGCAGGGTCCCTGCATGGGACACTCGGAGCTCCTGGGAGCAGCTCCCTCAGCTTCTCCTGCTGCCTCTCAGGGCTCGCGCTCATCCAGGCAAATCTCCGGCAGGGAAAGCTCGGAATTTCTGGGGTCCCCAGCCAGCGCTTAGCCCTGCTGCCCTGGAGGTAGGCGAGCTTTAACCCGCCCCAAGGGCCCGACTGCCTCTGCCAATTCCATAAACGGGAGCACAGGGAGAGACACCGTGACTTAACCCCTTCAGCAACTGGTTTTGTTTTTCCTTCTGTAAATACACAGCCTTCTGGTGTTCACATACAAACAGCAGCATCTGGGGAGAGCGGGACTCGCGGCTGCAGGAGCGAGGCTGCCAGCGGGGAAGACATAAATCCCGAAGGACAAGGGAGCAGAGGCGGGTGCAAAGCGGTGAGTAGCCGGCGCGGGGGACGCGGCAACCCGTGGGTTTCTGGCTTTTCCCTGCTCCAAACCGCGCCCCACGGCACAGCGCGCAGAGGCGGAAGCGGCAGCGCCGAGGGGCTCGGAGCAGGTAAAGGCAGTGCGGGGTGGCGCAGGGCAGGGGGTGGCGTGGGGCACCCGTCGGGACACGGTTGGCAGTGGGGGTCGGGCTCCTCTGCCCTGTCCTGTCCCGTGCCAGCAGCAGCTCGGCAGTGCTGCGATGAAGGCGGCGTGTGCAGCGGCGACACCGCGCCTGAGGCGGCGGTGACGGTCGCCCCAGCACCGCATCACGCTCGCTCGGTGGCTTTTGACACCCTCTGAGTGACATCGCGACAGGACCCGAGCAAGGGCAGGACACCCCAAGGGCTCTGGAGAGAACCCACCTCCAGCTGGGCTCTGCTCCTCAACTCAGTTCGTGCGCTCAGCAGCGAGACGCTCCAGCCTAGGAGACGACGGGGTCCTGCTGCCACCTGCACGCAGGTGCTCGCACTGGAAGAGGCAGGGAATGGTGCTGCAGCTGAAGCTTTCTCCGTGGCTTTAGCCTCCACGATGCATCTGGGATTTGCTTCACCCTCCCATTGTGAGATGCCTGGAGGCTGCATTCCAAGGAAAAGTTTTGTGATTTGGGGCACCTTGGACCAGAGCTGGACATGGCAACAGCAGCACATCCTCCTCTGCCCTTCTCATGAGATCCCTCCTGAAAGGTGCGTGTGAAGCCCACGCTGCTGCAACCCCAGGCTCTCCAAGGGCTCCCTGCAGCATCAACGTTATGATTCACTGGTAATTTCCTGTGTTTCCCAAAGCAGGAAAGGGCTCCAAGTGCAAGGCAAGGACCTTACAGTAAGAAAACTCTCTCTGCCCTGAGGAATTTCATTTAGTGAGCAGGGTGGATCATATGTCCCAGAAGCCTTTTGGATCAGGCTGCAAAGGACAAAAAGGTTCCTGGAGGACATTGTATCCACTGGAAGGCATCCCTGCAGGCCTGGAAGTGGTGGACACCTTCACACCTGCAGGCTAGAGGGACACAGCAGCACGGCCAGCAGTCGGATGGCGCCGGGCAGGGCTGCCAGCTTTGGGGAGCGGCACAGAGTGCAGGAAGGAAGGGCTGCCCTCAGGGGAAGGAGTCGATGGTGCAAGCGAGTGCAAGCAAGTAGTCAGGAAGAGTGGGCAGGACACAGGCCTGGGGCAGGGCCAGATGCCCCAAAAATCACTCATCACCATGATGTCACGGAACAGCTACCAGGACCCATGTGGGAGCAGCTTCCAGGGGCTTGCACCAACCACCTTGTGTGTGGGGCAGAAAAAAGGGAAGGCTGTGCCTTCCTCCTCCTGCCATCAGATATGTTCTCCTGACAGCTGCAGCTCAGTCCTACAGTGCTCAATTTCATGCAATGTACTTCTTGCAGCCTGAGGGCTTTTTGCTTTCAATAATCACAGCAGGCATAAGCATTGCATTAGCTGGCCACCCAGGTACAGGCACAAGGAGAATAGAGGTGGATGTACCATCTTCTCAGGTGCTGTGCTGTGAAAGGCCAATAGTGGGAGAAGAAAAAGAACTGAACTAGTGTGTAATGCAAATAGGCAGCCCTGACAGTCCTGGTTCGAGAATCAAATGCCACAGCACAGAGTTGGAGCCCCAGGTGGAAACCTCATGGCTTGCCCAACAAGCTGCACAGAGGGTTTGGCTGAAAAAAACGATCCTATGGCCTCAAGACCAGTCAAGGCCCACAGTGCCAGTGCCTGGAAAATGCTGCCCTACTGAGCACCACATGACTTGAGAGGCTGTATCTGGCTGTCCAACCTTCTCTGGTTTGCAAGGAGCAGGTTAAGAGATCACGGCTGCCACTGATGGAGAGAAATTATGAAATTTCCTGCCTGCATGAGGCCTGCAAGGCCCTGCTGTGTTGGGGCTGCAGTGTGTTTTGTGCTGGTTCCTGCTTGGGATCTTTATGGTTTGCATCAGCCTCATGGTGTCATTTCTCATGCCATGTCCTGGCTTTGAAGATTTCGGAGGCTCTACACCTTGCTGACACGGATTGGTTTTGCTGGGAAGACAGGTTTTGACACCCTGGAGCACATGCATGCTTACCAACAGTTTGGTAGATCTACTGATAAGGAATTATTTTCCAATAGTATAAAGAACAAATACCCCTGAATAGAAATTTCAGCATGGACCAGCAGGATGGAGGTTAGGAAAGAATCAGTCTTGCAATCTGTGCTCAGCCGTGTTCTCTGGCAAGGAGAGCTCAGGCTTGTTTAAGCTAGCCCTGCTATCAAAATAGACAGCACTTTTCAAACCTCCAAGCCATGGGACACTGTTAGATGCTTTCAGTGGATGCTGCAGAGGATCCACTCTCTTCAGAGGTGTCTAGAGAAATCTGACACACTTTTTTGATCTAAACTCTAAACCTCCAATGGAAATCAACTTTCAATTTGCTTTCTACAGTCCCTGGTCCCAGAGTATATCCTGGCTGCATCCTGATTGTGCTGGGCAGGAATTCAGCTGTGTACCTCAGATACCCATCTCTCCCAGGCGCATGGGCCATAGGCCACTGCAAAGTGTCCTTTACCAAGGATGGGCAGGAGACCAAGACCTCAGGCAACAAGATGCAGTCTGTATGAACATGCCAGCACCAGGGCTGCTGGGGCTCCTTGGAGCACCTCCCACACATACCTTCAATCTTTGCCAGCTCAGCCGTGCAGGCAGAGGCACAAGGGCCAAAACTCTTTGCTTCAGAGTCTCTTTGGACTAGGAATAAATGGACTCCGATGGGAAATGAATGCAGAGCTTTGCGAGCTGCCAAGTCTTTGGGACACCGTGTCCCATCACACTGCACTTTACAGAATAACAGTGAAACCCTTAAAGGCTACACTCGCTTTAACAATATTTCCACCTCCTCTAGGAAGTAGGATTAAATCCCTGCAATCCCAGCACGCTTACGTTCAGTGCCTGCCATGCTTCCCTGGTGCAGTTCATTTTCACTGTGGTCTCAACTCACCTCTATGATTTTGCAGGGTGCTGAGGATGGCAGGCAGCTCCGCTCCTTGGATCGGCAGCGCTTACCTCTTCCTCCAGTCAACTTGCAAGACCGTTGCTCTGCCTTCTCTTTATGAAAGCTCCCAGCAGAAACCCAGCATCTTCAAGGCTCTCAAGCTGGCACTGGCAGGTACCCGTCCTCTCTGATGCTTTGGGTTGCTTCACAAAGACAGGTTGTACCTAGGAGACAGAGCAACCATGAGTTTGTGTGTCCCACTCTACTGCTTCCACAGTTTGAACAGAACCCTGAGGTTCAAGCTGCGATTTGAGCTTGGGCATGTAACTGGGTGCAAGCCCTTCCGTGTTATTTATGCTCTCCCTTGCAGCTGCAGCAGGTTCACAGCATGCATGCTGCCAGCTACTGCACATCAGCTAATGAGCAGGCACACCTGCTGAGGGGAACACTGTTGTAACCCTCCATTCTGTGCAGCTCTGTGCCTGTTTTCCTAGGCAGGGAGTTATTAATCCATCTGGATGGGCTACAGCCATGAGGTTTCCTCTCTCCTCTTTGGGCAGTTCCAAGATGGGCTGAGAGCAGCCTGCAAATACCTCTGAGGAGATGAGCAGGACACAGCCAGGCTCTTTGTGGTGGTGCATGGTAGGAGGATGAGAGACCTCAGCTATAAATTGAAACAAAAACTGGTCACAACAGATACAAGAAAATTTCCTTCTCCATGAGGGACAGCCAAGCAGTTGTCCAGAGAATCTGTGCAGTCTCCATCCTTGGAGGTTTTCAAGACCAGCCTGGATAAAGCCTGGTCTGACACTGCCATGCCTGGGAGGTTGGGCTAGAGGCTTTCTGAGGGTCACAGGATAATTCGGTTGGAAGGAAATATCCTGTTTTGTGAATGCTTGTTTAATCCCATTTATGTGAGGAAGACACATTGCAGCTGGTATGAAAAATATTTAGTTTCTATCTTACTACCACCAGAGAAACATAAAAACAAGGTTCTCCAAGAAAAAATTAAGGCCAATGATAGGAAATCACTTGGAAGCTCTTTTCCAAAAATAAGGAGGTACAATAACATTAGCTTCAGTTCTCCTTAACACTGTTCACAGCAAAAAGAGGATCTGAGATACATATAGCCATAAAACTGCCCATTTGTCTGTTTACCCTTGCACCAAGTTGACTGCAGAATAACAGCAATTTGAAGAGGTTATTATATTTACCTAGAAGCACTATCACAGTGTTCCTAACTTGTCATACAAGCCTGTGTTCATTATTTAGGTTTGTGTAGCTACAACTGAAACTTTTTCTGGCACTTACCAGCATAGCAAAGTTTCAGTTAATCCAGTACAGGCCAGTTCATTTTACAGCTTCATCCAAAGTGCACAGTAGCAGGAGGTCCAACATAGTTGTCTAATGAGGCCCCATTATGCCTGCTCTGTGGCACTGGGACAGCTTCATATCTGCTTACACATTTAAGGAAAAGCTGGGCAGCAATGCTAAATCCTACCCTGCTCATTCAGAGACAAAAAGGAACTGAAATCTGAAGTTGTCAAAAGTCTTGTGAAGGAATGAGTACAAAGACCTCTCTTTCAAGGTGACCTTTCAGCTCTTGTGTATACTTTTCGTAAAAGTTTCTGTATTTTTACAGTTTTTCTCTCCCCTCCCTTCTCCTGTCCTCTTACGCAAGCTTCTGTTTAACCAGCACTAAGGAAAAAAGAAAGCATGAAGGAAGCAATAAAAACAAAAGGACCTTTCTGACCGGCAGTCACTGATTAGAATGCCTCTCCTAGCTCCCATCCCCATGTCTCATTTATCCATTTAATCTGAACTAGACTTTCTGATGCAAGTAAAGTCACTAAGCCTGGCTAACGTGGTGCACACAGGTCTCCTCTGCCCTGGGATTCTCCTGCCATGTCCAAATAATAGAAGTTTTTGTTAATTACCTGTTTTAGAGCCAATCTGAGCTAGTACATCCATGCAGAGCTGCAGAAGCAAGGAAAGAGGTTAATTTGGGTCTGGAAATGGTACAATTCTGCTAGCACCACACTGAGCCTTGTCCCCTGGGGTCCTGCCCACAGGTCCAGTGCTGGTGGAGCTCTGGCAGCCCTTCATCCATCTCCATTTCTCCTTCCACAACTGCACCTTCCTCTGCTGCTGCAAAAATAGAAAAAACATTTACTTTTACTTTCATCATCAAAATCCCTGCAGAGACAAGCACTGTGCACAGATGATCAAAATCGAATTTAGAGGGCAGAAGGAAGAACGAAGGCCTGTTCATTTTCTGCATCCCACCCCTGTCGTGCTCCCCTAGCATGAGTACTAACTTGAGGGCACCTCCCTGCCTCATCCCTGCCAAGATTTTACTCCCCCCAGCACTGGTATTAACTTGAGGGCACCACCCTGCCTCATCCCTGCCAAGATTTTAGTCTGAATTATTTCCTGGTGTAAAATGGTTTAAAACAACCCAGGCACAATCTCAAGTGACTCAAATTCCAGCTCTGTCGCTAGGTTGTGCCCATGCAAAAGGTGAGGACTACTGAGAGCTCAGAGCCACAAGCTGGGGTGATGGGGAGGGAATGTTGGCCTCCCTCTGAGACCTTTGTCACTGCATAAAATCACGAGGATTCTCCAGGCACAGGGACTGAAATCCCCCGAGCATCGAGCTGAACTCTGCGTTTTCACCTACGAAACTCTGCCGTGCTGCCAAGCAGTGTGATTTATATATCTAATTAACCACAGAGCTCTGCAATGCCCAAAACATGAGCAATAGTACCTTGTTCCAGGTGGGCCTTCACAGGTAACATGAAAAGCTGTTAGCTGCACATTGCTAGAGCTTTCTGCTGGTGAAAAGTGTATACCTTGTTACAACAAAATAGGAGTCACAGTTCAACCGATCTTTTCGTTTGGGGAATTTTTTATTTTATTCTGAATTTTTGAAGCAACCAGTTTTGTTACCTGCCATCTGACTTCCAGTTTTCCATGTTAAGAAAATTGCCTTCAGCGCTTCCCTTCATATTACTCACCTAACGTTTCCCGAACAAAACTAAACTTTTCTGAGCTCTTCAAATCAGATGTTTTGATTGACCTGGCTATGTTTCTACTTCATTTTTTCCAAGATTTTTTTTTTCAACTGTTTTAATCCCGTAGGGGAATTCCACATCTCTTTCCCAAGCTGCCTGTAAGTGAACCAATCCCGTCTCAGGTCTGCTCTGCTAGAACAGCAATGTCTGTGCAGAGCTGCATGTCCCAGAAGGGACAATTCTGGACCTTGCAGCCATGGGCAAACGAGCTGTGTGTGGCGCGGCTTCAGCTCAGCCCTGGATGGCAGTGGACAGTAGAGTCTGAGGTTCCTTCTTGGTTGCTAGAAGAGCCAAACCATCCACTTTATGAACTGGAACTTAAAACCTCCCCCAGCAAACTATGTTTTGGGATCATCATCTGGACTGTGGTACCCAGCAGTTTGCGCTCAGATGGGTACCACACTTCTTGGAGATTCAGGAGAGCAAAAAAAATAACTCCTTCCTCTTGGTTTTCCATACAGGTTTTTCATCACAGAAGATTTTATCGCAGACAGAAGACAATTCACAAGCCAGCCCCTAGCAGGCTTGGTGGTGAATGGGAGTGGGTCTGGGTTGTCTCTCTCATGCCTGGATAGTGACTCTGCTCACTTCTCCCTGCCAGACTCCACCGGCAGCCTGAATGGCGTGGACATGCTCAAAGTGCACTGCAGCCACCCGCACCTCATCATCCAGCTCAAGTTCTGCAAGCAGGAGAACTGCCGCCGCTTCCTGCGGAGCTACCGGGAGGGAGCGCTCCAGGAGTCTCTCCAGAACCACCTCCAGCTCTCCTTGGCCATGAGCAAGGTGCCTCTGGAAATGGAGCTGAAGGCTGGCAGCGAGCACCTCGACAACATGCTCAAGGATGAGGACCGCTGCCTGGAGTGCATCTACAAAGAAAAGGTGAGTGGGAGAGGGAGGGAGGCTGGGCAGCAGTGAGGAACAGTAACATGGGACTAAGGAGAGCTAAGGGGTCCTGCTCTGCTGCCATGTACGGGGCTGTCAGCTTCTCTGTCCTTCAGCTCGGCTGTAACATAGAGCAACAGTCCTGCCAGTGGCTGCCTGGGAAGGCTAGGCACAAGAGCACATTTCGGCAGGTTGTTTTTCTGCAAGCGCAGAGAATGGAACAAAATGAAAGCCTTTCAGCCCAGAACTAAGCAGCACGTGATACCACTTACCCTGTCTGCTCACTTCTCCCTTCCTCTGCTGAGTCAGCAGCCTGGCCCTGGCCCAAGGAGACAGGCTTGTTCTCTGTTCCTCAAAATGGCCTCAGTCTGATCTCTGCCTAATGATGCAACAGTCGGAAGGATCACAAGACAGCACGGTGGCCACTAGCTAAGGACAGTGCCAGGTACTAGCCTCTTGCATGTGACCAACACTTGGTCAGAAGAACTCCATTAGATTATCTCATTTAACAAGTTTACAGCACGAGCTGTAGGTGTCTCATTGCTCCTCTCTTGATGCCACCATCTTAAGCTACACTTAAACACGTGCCTTCCAGCAAAGCACCTGTGGCTTTGTGGGATGGTGAGCCCGGCACAAACCACGGCCGCTGTTTGCATTACAGCCAGACCGCCTGAGGGACGAGGAAATCACAGAGCTGGAGGAGTGTCTCAAGAGCCTGGTTCTTCACCAGAACATCAACAAAAACATGGCTGCAAAAGACTGCATGTCTCCCAACTCCCAGTGTCCGCCTTATTCTTCTCAAAGCAGCTCCCTTTCTCCAGACGTCACCTTCACCTTTCAGGAACAACAGTTTGGTGAGTAGCTAAAACTGAGCCCTCACAACCCTTGGTTATTCTTGCCTCAAAGGCCAAAATGGAAGAGGGTTAAGGTCCCCATGTAATAGGATCTACCTCACATAAGTCAAGAACTTCCAAAGGACTGAAGATAATACCAGGTTATTACCTGGTGTTTCAGATTAGGCCTCAGCCTATCTTCTTTCTGAGGTGGAGCGACACCAGATGCTTCAGAAACTCTGTCCTTTGCAGGTTCCTCACATTTTAAAACTTGGGACACCCTAAACCCAGACACCCTGGTGTTCTGGGAGGTTCTAAGCTGGCAGTGCTGAGTGCTCATCACAGCAGTGATCTGGCTGGCTTTGTGAACTGAGTATTTCCTTTCCAGTAGTGGAGGAATGTCCTCAGGGCACACAGATCTGTGTGTATAACACTGCCCACGGGGCTGATCCCTTTGGCTTTACCACTCTCGCATTTTTACACTCAGCAGTGCTGTCCTGGTTTTAAAGCACTGCAGGACACACGGGCCAGCTCCGCAGTGAGACATTCCTGTGGATGCTGAGTAGGCTCTGAGCTCCACAGCACACGGACAAACTGGGGAATGGTGTGGGCTACATTGAGTTGGCCATGAAATGCCTGTGTTTAAACTCCCTCTGTTCCCTTCAAGCCAACAGAACGCTCACGCTAGAGGACCACCAGAAATTCGCCAAACTCGTGTCGAAGAAATGGAAGCAAGTGGGTCGCTCCTTGCAGAAGAACTGCCGTGCCCTGCGTGATCCTGTTATTGATAACCTGGCGCTTGAATATGACCGGGAGGGACTGTATGAGCAAGCCTACCAGCTGCTTCTCAGATTCATCCAGTCAGAGGGGAAGAAGGCCACGATAGCGCGGCTGATAGCAGCCCTGGAAGAAAATGGTCTCACCAGCTTGTCTGAGGAGCTCTTGGGCCTCCACTCCAACGAGGACTCTTCCTAGAGCCCAAAGGGCAGTGGCATTTGCTAAGGGCTTTCTTGCTTTGCACAAAACTGCTGCCAGTGTCCTGGGCATGAATAGCCCTGAAAATCACTGCAGGTTTCCATGTAGTTGGGAATGCCCAAGGGAAAGTTTTGGTGCTTGCAAAGCCAAAATGGAGTATCGAAATACTGCTCTCATGTTCTTTATTTCAGTCTGTTTCCAGAAGTCAACATTACTTTCCCTTGAATGGGGGAGAGAGGCTTTCAAACCAAACTCCTTCAGGACTGAAATGTCAGAGTGAATAAGTCTGACTTTTACAGAAGCCTAAATTAGGGTGGGAGAGAGGGGAAATCACGGCAGGCATCTCAGAGACCTTCTGTGGGGAGCAGACAACAGCAGACTTCTGAGGCTGTGGCCTAGGACTGTCCCTGGAGCTGTCTAGAGAGCTAGAAAATATATATATATATATTTGGAGTGAAGACACTTGTCTTCTCAGGCATGCCATCAAAGGCTAAATCATCTTCCCTTGACAAGGATAAGAACACTGGCCTATACCATGAGCTGGAAAAGCCTGACACGGCGGACCTACATACACAACATTAACATAAAATATTAACAACATCGCACTTAGCTTTTCCTACCAACCAGAGGGAGCCTGAATCTGTGAAAAGGAAAATACCATTCTAGAAGGAAAAAAAAAAAAAAAACAAGCAAGCAAACAAACAAAAACTCAGTCTTGCAATCAGCACATTACCTTCCTGGAACTGTTGCTTTAGGATATTGCAGCATCAAGACCCATCCTGACTCCAGCACACACTTTACCTGATGGTGTATTGCAAGTGTCGGGACTTGCATGGAGCCTTTCCCTGGCAATGTTGTCACTGTGTGACAATTGGCATCAGCTACTGTGCCTGGATTTACCTGCCCTGATTTTGAGGGTGAAAATTGTTTTAAGAAAGGACTCAAAACCCAAGGCTAAGCTGTGCTTGCAGTTCCATCGGGATAAGCCTGTCTCCAGGGGTGGTTGATACAGCCTGCAACAGAGCAGAGTTTAGGTTTGCCCGTAACAAAGCACAGAACAAGAAGTGTTTAGCATCACACGGGTCCCATAAAGCACAACAAACAGCTTCACTAACTTTAACATCTTATGCTTTCTGATGTTTTTACTCACCCTCTTCTATTAATTGCACCTCTCTTTGCCCTACCCATCCATGATAACAGCAAGTAGGTCTTGGATTTTATCTCAGTATAGAGGGTGACTCTACCAGCACGTGTAAGCACGTGTGTGCTGCTGAGTTTTGGCCCACTGGCTATACCTCATGGTAATTTTGTCTTCCACATACACGAGCCCTGACGGCCTTTTAAATCACAACTCATCTGTTAACCCTTCACTGGAGACAAAGCTGTGAGTTGGTAAAGCGGAACACAACCCTGGATTCAGATGAGCACTCGGAGCAGTAGCTAATCTAAGATGCAGATCAAGGGGATTCAGATGGTCACCCTGCGCCCACATGCCTCAGATGAGCTCAGCCTCACACTCCTCAATGTGAGCCTGAGGAATCTGGCATCTGACTGCAGACCTTGGAGGCAACAGACACAGTGTGATAGGAAATAGGAAGAATCAAAAGACAGAGAGAATTTTCAAGCTACAAACCTGGCCCCATCTTGCCCTTATCTTCAAAGGGAACAGGACTTCAATCTACAAGGAATATGGTCCCATGGCATTCTGAGTGGGTGCTGCAGTCTCATCTCCCCCAGTCCTGATCCATATCCTCTCTCTCCCTTCGAGCAGTACCAATGTTATCCCCCAAGGGAAGCAGGTATTTGGGAACATGGCAATGCTGATCATAATTATTTTAGGCTGCTGCGGAACCATCTCAGATTATGGCTGGAGAGCTCTATTTGTCAGCAAGCCTTCTGGCTAAGGTATATTTTGTAAAACATCAACAACTTGAAAGTTCCCTTTTAAAGGCAGGAGGGTTTGCTCTTGATTTTGCAAAAGTAATTTTTAGAGTGCAGGATCATATGCATAGAAATATTCTTTATAAATGACACAATAGGCTAATCAGGCTATCGCTATTCAGGTGTACAACATCCATATACAGTTATAAGGCAGGCATTCAGTGGTGAAAACTGTTAGCTTTTCTATCATATGTTAGCGCTCAGTGAGAAAGGCTTATTATTCAGCATCTACTTTGTCTGAGATTTTTTTCACTCCTATTACAGTTTTATAGAGAACTAAGAATTATTATATTTTTTTAATGCAAACCTTGTGCATTTTATTTCTCTGCAAGCAACTGGCACGTGTGTTTCCTCTGACTCATAAAATCCCTCTCAAAAGTGCCATTAAGTGCAGCAGCTCCTGGCAAATTTTGTGGAACATCAGCATCTTTAACAGCATTCACAGGTGCCTTCATGGCACAGAGATGAAGGAAAAGGGTTTTCCAGTGATATTCCTTAGTGGAATTGTCTAAAGCACCTAGCATGGTTTAGGACAATAGCAGTGGCTGTTTCATACCTTCTTTTCAGTGATGAGTTATCATCCATGGCCATATGTTAGATGCAATAAAAGCTCAATCCTGGTTTCAAGTGAGCTCCTCCCTGCTAAAACAGTTTGCTTTATTTTTGTAGTGTTGTCTGGCACGAATGAATATAGCAGAGTCTTCACAGAAGACCTAGGATAAAACTGTATACACGGTGGAACGAGTACACAGTATCAGTTGCATTCATTTAGGTATTTGGGTAGGTCTTGACTCTGAATTTCTGTCTGTTGTATCCAGAGGATTTTGTGGCAGTTTTACTCCTGTGTGCAAAGGCAAGGTAATCGACAGCACAAAGGGCAGAAAGAAAAAAAGGAATATCCATTTGCTGAGACCTGTTGAAGAAATTAGTGGGACATCTACCTCCTATATTAATTCAATGAATGGAACTAGAGAAAGAGTGAAGTGTTTGGGGAACTTCCATTAGTGCAACCAGAAAGTCAGCCCGATGTGCAAGCCCAAGAGCTGCAGCAGGTGCTCTAGGGTCACTCTGGTGTCACGCTGCCCATGGCTGACCTAAGGAGTGTCAGCCTGCACTGCCCCTTTTGCTTTCCTCCTTCCTGTGACTGTTAGTTGCACACGGATTGCCCTACTCAAATGCTAGAGACATGCAAATGATGCTCCCTTGCTACTATTTACATGGATTAACTCATGTCTAGTGGGTGAGACAGACACAATTAACATCCCTGGTGAATTTGGCCTTATCACTTCACAGCTCTTCTCTCTGCCTGAGGGATTTTTTTGCAGGGGTGGGGAGCAGAGATGGGGATGCTATAAAATAGTATGCAGTATTAAAGTAAATGAAGGCATTAATCAGTTGTGTATGAAAAATTAAACAGACAAAATATAAAGCAAATAGCAGAACCAGGCCAAAAAGAATTTGCAGAATGGGATCCAAGAGGGCTTTCTCTGTGGTGCAGATTGTTTTTGTAGCTTTAGCAGTGTTTCACATTTGAAACGGGCTCTTTTCAGCCTGCCAGAAGGAAAAAGTGATCCATTCGAACACGAATTGAAATGGCTTGTTTTGGCAAGCTGAGCTGCAGCGTTCAAGGGGATAATAACACAGTGGAGAGCAAAAGTTGAAATCGCCACCATCTCTACTGTGACATGGGGCATCTGCTAGAAGTAAACCTGAGCGAACATCCTGATCTGCAATTTTAGTGCAGGAAAATATCAGATTGCCCTGGAGAGCAGACTGAGGGCAAAGCCTGATGTAAGCCCTCTTAGTGCTTGTTGAAAACACGCCAGTCTACCTGGTTGAAGAGGAGCCGGCACAATCGCAGAGGCTTCATGAACGATGGTGATAGGAGAGATGTCCCCTTCCAGCAGCTTCAGTTCACACGCACACCACGACCATCTGTGGTGGATGAGTGTGTCATCCCAAAGCTCTGCACAACTTAAAAATAAAGGTTTCAGCATTATTGTTCTGAAGCACTTAAAAATAAGTATGATCTAAAAGAGTCTTAAAGAAGTCATAAAGCTTAAAGGAAACACTTCACTTAAAGATATTCTAAAATTTCCAGACAGATTGCTATAGCAGGTCAAATCAGAAAATAACATTGAGTGACAACTTGCAGCAGCACTTTCTAGCTTCACATTTGCAATTTCAGGCCTACCACTGAAGAGACACCTATCTAACTTTTAATGCAAGCTGGGGGGCTAATTTCATAGCATTTGAGGTTTCAAACCTTTATGAAAAATGTGGGTTCTAAGTAAAAGCGAGTTTGCTGGAGCTTCATAGGTAGAAAGTCCCAGACTGTATCTATGTCAAAATTCAAAAGAACTGAATATACTTTGCTCTATGGCCAAGATTTGAAAATCTCTTACAGCGACGAACCTCTGATATTTTACATCTAGGATGAAGGAAACGTTAGAATGGGAGTCGAGAGGGTGTCATCAGTGTAGCCTGCATGACTGGAGAAAACAAGTGGAATTGGTGAGACACACTGCTCCACACCAGGCAAAGGCCTGGCCAGTAGTCCTTTTTTTTTTTTTGCTGAGATGAGCCCAAACTTTGGAGTAATTTCAGGTCTGGAGTCAAAATTTATAGTTTTTCTTCTCTGGATTGAACTGGGCAAAGGGATTTGGCCATACATCTCCTATTCAAATCAGTAGGAGACCTGTGGTTAAGTCCCTTACTCATCAGTGGAAAAATCCCTTGCTGACCTTTTAATCCAAATTTCCATGATATTCAGCATCAGGTCTGGATCAGCCATCTACAGTTATGGACTACATCATCACATATACTCAGGTCTAGGATATTCAACTTCCAGGGAACTATCTTTTATATAAGAAAGCACTTTGATTTATTTTTTTCCAAACTTTCCATGAAATTATATATACTTTTGATGAAAAGTGCCTCAGACTTTTTTTAAGCACTAATGCAGCAGTAAGCAGAGAAGGCTTCACTGAAGCCCTCTTGAAGCTTCAGTAGATACAACTGAATCATCCGTGTAAACATCAGGGCTGCTGCAGCGCCCTGCGCTGCGGGGTGCTCTGAAGGAAGCCTCCTGAACCTACTTGCCCTGCTGTGGTTAAAAATCACCTTGAGCTCCATTGAGGGGGATTAGTAAGTCTCCAGTTTGGCATTCGAACCCCAAAACATCCGGTTCCTGGATGGGTCGTGGCTTGTGCTTGGATTCTCTGCTGGCTCATATAGCACAAACACTGCCTGAAACCTCTGCTGCGGCTGGGATGTGTATGAATCTTTCTGACTCCATCTTATGTGACTTTTTTTTGAAAAAAAAGACTGAGTTAAAGCTGCAGCCCCAATTCCT